TCTTGAAACTTTGCATAGATATAGGCCTCAATGAGAATACTTTATTGTGAAAGTTTCAGCTCTTTTCGCTGTTCTTATCCTAAGATATAGCTATCGTAAAATTGTTCATATACACCAGCAGATCCGATGTTCTTATCTCAGACTAGGAGCAACCAAAAAATCTGAAACCTTCACAATAAACTATTCTCATTGAGACCTGTCTACATGCAAAGTTTCAGGTGGAAACTCAAAAGTCACTTTTCCTGATGTTCCTGAGGGGACCACGGCTTTTCCCTAAACATACAGTAAAAATGCTGTATCTCAGGAGTAAGAAGCTAGCAGCACGAGCTTTTTTCAGGACATTCATAGGTCATTAGGGCCTACATAATGTCCATACGCTCGACTCAAAAGCGATGTGACAGTTGGGAATGTTCCCTCGTGAGCTCCATCCGTCCAGACAACCCATAGTGGGAGGGGGTGGGAGTGCAGGGAGAGTAAAAACCAATAAAAATCGAGTTTTTAGGAAAACAGTTTCTTGAGAGTAATTCGGTGTGGAGAATTTGGATCTGGCCTTCATTGGCTCAGACACACCCGACCAGAGCTGTCATATTCCACTGAGTATTAAGTAGTAAGCAGAATATAACATCTCTAGTTGTAACAGTAACTATCTGAGATCTATCTGGAGGCCGCAAAGGTAACTATCTGAGGTTACCTATGGTAACTCTCTGAAGGCTATCCTAGGGTACCAAAGGTACTTTTTGGAGCTTATCTGTGGTTACCAAAGGTAAGTATCTGAGATCGATGCCAGAGTACCAAAAGTACTATTTGAGACAAATTGTGAGGTGTCAAAAGCAATATTCTGAGAACTAGTTGGGGGTGCCTGAGACAACTATTTGAATGCTATCTAGAAGTACGAAAGGTAATATTCTGCCGCCTCTCGAGAGAAGATGGGTACCAAAGGCACTATGGTAGGACTTATTTGAAAGTATCAACGGCAATATGTTGGGGTCGTATCTGAGGTCACGTGGGGTAACTATCTGAGAGCCACGTCATCGTACCATAGGCATATTCGGAGCCTCTCTTGGAGTAGGCAAAGTCATATTCTCGGATCAATCTAGCAGTACCAAAAGCAATATTCTGGGACCTAATCGACAGCGCATAAGATAACTACTTGAGGGCTATTCAACGTACCAAAGGTACTATTCTTGGGCCTATCTGATGGTATCAATCATAACTTTCTGGGGCATCTCTCTAGGTAGCAGAGGTAGGAAAGTAGGGCTTAGCTGGGTGTACTGAAAGTAACTCTTTTCATCGCGTGCTGGAACATCACTAGAAACTCTCAGAAGACTATCGAGCCATGTTAGAGAAAACTTTTAGGCCAGTCGCCAGATAAAACATCTAACCTTGCGAGTAACGAGCGGAGTACATGAGTTACCAATGAAACGCTTTTCGGCCAGTTACTTATTTAAAACAGGATAGTTCTGAAAAGTCAGTCTTTGTAGTAGCAACTAGCGTTCTTTGAGTTACCTATAGTGCTTCTAGATATCTTCACAAAACCTAAGTTTTGGTATCATAGGGTACTTCGGCAGACGTACATTCAAGACTCCAGGCGAGTGCTATCAGAGCTATCTTCTGTTGGTCTAATCAGTCCCAAACAGTTAACTTCGGTGTTCCCACATAAGTCTCAGAATATTATCTTTAGTGCGTCCAGAGAGGCCACCGAATATTAGTAGCTTTCACAGCCTGACGTAGCCCTCACACAGTTACCTAAGATACTCCCAGTGAGATTTCAGAATATTATTTTTGGTACCCTAGGATAGACCCCAGAATATCACCTTAGGTACTTCCGCTAGTCCTCAGAATATTATTTTAGTACTTAAGTTAGATCCCGCAATTGTACCTTTAATACCTTCAGATAAACCTCAGAATATTACCTTTAATACTATGAGATAGCGCGCAGAATACTGCTTTTAGTATCGTCGAATAAGTCCGAGAATTGTACCTTTATTCCTCCTAGATGCGTCCCACAATAGGACCTTTGATGCTCTGGCATAGTCCTCAGGTAGTTAACCTGGATACCTTAAGATAGGCCCAAGATATTACCTTTCATACTCCCAGATAGACTTCAAATAGCTATCTCAGGCACCTCAACTAGTTCTCAGAATATTGCTTTTGATATCCCACAATTGGTCCAAAAATAGTACTTTCTGTACTCTGGCATCGATCTTAGATAGTTACCTTTGGTAACCACAGATAGACCCCAAAATAGTACCTTTGGTATCCTAGGAAAGCCTTCAGATAGTTACTATAGGTAACCTCAACCAGAGTGCAGACAAACTGACCAGGAATTAGTGTTTCCTCTACTTATGGTCTCAGCAATGAGAATTAGTTTTGTGCCAACAATGAGAGAGATAAACTTTCCTGCAATCTTATTGCTCAACAGTATTCGGATTTGGATGAATTAGTGAGCTCGAACTCGACTCGAACTCGAACTTCTAAACTCGAGTTCGAGTCGAGTTCGAGTTTTGAGGTTCGAGTTCGAGTCGAGTTCGAGTTTTGAGGTTCGAGTTCAAGTCGAGTTCGAGTTTTGAGGTTCGAGTTCGAGTCGAGTTCGAGTTCATATGTTCGAGTTCAAGTCGAGTTCGAGTTCATATGTTCGAGTTCGAGTCGAGTTCGAGTTTTGAGGTTCGAGTTCAAGTCGAGCTCGAGTTCGAGCTCGAGTCTAAACTTCGAGTCGAGCTTTAATAGTATCGAGTTCAAACGGTTTGGGATTGGTCCATGTCTACTTTTGAGTAGAAACTATGTGCATCATATAGGCTCAGATCAGTTTTGAATATCTTGAAACGAGTTGGATTCATAACTTATTGATGTATGGATACTGAAAATTTACGATAGTTTGTAAATGAATGCTGTGGCACTCCTTAGGGATCACCAGAAAACTGATTTTCGCATTTCGACTTGAAACTTTACATAAAGACAGACCTTAACCAGAGTAGTTTATTAAGAGAGAGCTAATGACCTAAACTGTTTGCAGGGTATTCATAGGTGATTTGGGTCTATATAATGCACATAGTCTTGAATCCCAAAAAATCTCTTTTGTTCCATTTCACGGAATATTCGGAATCGGAAAACGTTTGTCTTGCAGGACTTAAATCTAGACTCAAAAATGATTTATGAGTTGAAGGATTTTACTCGTTAGTCAGAAGTTAAGAATAACTTCCGTGTAGTTAGATTTGTCTTCGATTATCCTTTTTAAAACAATATCAAAAAGAAGGAATTAAACAATATTTTTATGTTTGCTGATATTTTTATTCTAGACGTAAGTAGTTTGCTTAGATCTTTTCGATTGGATTCACTTAGACTTACTTGTTCGATGAATCCAATGTGACTGCTTTTGTTCCAGACAATTGAATTGTACCGATTAATTCTGTTGTACGTGGTAAAGGCGGTATTTTTTTAAAAGCTTCTCGTGCTTTATAACCATAATATGCATTAATAGCTCCATTTTGCATTGAACATAGAAAACTACTTGCTATTAAAAAATAATAAAAACGATAATTTTGTTTGTTTTTTATGTTAAAATCTATTCTTACCAGAACCACTGGATGGTTTTATAGTAAGTACTGATGATGAACTAATATCGATAGAAACAAATAACTGATGTTCATGATAAAAATTACATTCGCCATGTTCGTTATCTTCTCCTTCACTACACTTCCATTTATACATATTGACAATACCACCTCGAGCAGTATATATAAAACGTGGATGTTGGGCTTGTACTGAAACAACATCATATTGACCAGGAATACGTACATATGATATATCTTGTTCCATACAAGTATGCACAATACATAAACACTCTTTTGTTAAAACCATAAAATAGATATTCATTGAATTATCTGATAAATTTTCTTTGCCATCAGGTAGTACAATTCGTTCAATTGGTTTAGGACTTATAGGTGGATTAAAAGCAATTAATGTTTTAATTATTTCTTTATCAGATAAAACTTTTTCAGTTTCAATTATTGAATTTAAATCAATATGAGAAAAATCAATAGAAATTGTTGAATCAAATGTACATATTAATTTATCTTTATCAACAATAACTAAATCTAAATGTTGACCACCATTAATTGTAGCACGATGAATGAATGTTGAATCATTGAGAGTATAAAATAGAATAGTTCCATCATAAAGAACAATACTAATTAATGATGAACTTAATTTAGAATGTAAAACTGTTTTAATTGATGATGTTAATGATAAATCAATTTTAGAAAATAATTTATTTTCTCCTAAACTCCAACATTCAACAGTATTAGAATTTTGTTCAACAAGTATACATAAACCACGTTTATTATTAATTATTTCAACAGTTGAATATCCTTTTATTGATGTTCGATGAAATTTAATATCACCATGACTTGATAGAAGGTAAACATGATGAAATGAATTAACAAAAAAAACATATTGTTTAAATTTTTCTTCATCATTGTCTGAATCCGAAGAATTATCAGAATCATCGGAATCATTATCAGTATTATTTTCCTTTGTATGACGAATAATCATTTTTGGTAATGTTGTCGAATTTAAATAAGGTTCATTTAATTTAGGTAATTTAATGTCTACTGCTGTATTAAATGTGCCCATATTAAAAACAATTATTTTATTTGATAATGATATAACTGCCATTTGATTATTTGTGAAATCTAAATCAACGACAGGCATTGTATGTTTATTCATTGAAAAGAGTAAACCATTTCCTGGTGGTTGTATTTGGCAATATGGTACAATAAGTGCACAATGACGTGGACTTTGTTCATCACATTGTTTTAATAAATTAGTTATATTAGTTTTTAAACCATATAATATTACTAAACGTGATGTTAATTCAAATGCATAATTATCTGGATATTCATTAAGTAAAAGACCAAATAAGAAATAAGCCATTTGAAGAATTGAAAGTTCTTTTTGAGCCATTCGAACTTCATCGGATGATATTTCAGATGATGTACTTCCAAATTGATCAATATCATTTTGAATATCAAGAAATGATGAACAACTAAATTTAGCATCTAAAAAGAAAAATCATATTTTACTTAACTTTTCTAATTATGAACATACAAAAAACATACGCATAAATGAATAATTAAAAAGGATTTCTTCAGCTGCAATTGGAACTGCTATATCAGGTGGTAATTTACTTAAAAATTGAGGTAATTCGTTTAATTTTCGTTTATTATATTGTATTCGGCCATCAACATCAATAAATTCAACAGGTTGTGATGTTGTAAAACGGTTTGCTTGAATTTCACCAGCTGATTCATCTAATTTATATTTATTAACTAATTTAGGATCATCAATTTTAAATGGTTTATTTTTTCCTTTCCATGTTTCTTTAAACAAATCAACAGCATTCTGAAAAACTATTTTTCGATCTGTATCATTTAAATTTGATATGTATAATTCTCGTGCTACTTCAATAAATCGACGATGATACCTATACAAGAAAAATTATACCAAAGAGGATGTTATATTCGTTAGTATTCTTGCAAAAATTCAAATAAGAACAAGACTAGTAGTATAAGACGGTGACAAAGACCAACATACAAAACCAAATACATGGTCCGAAAGTACTTAAATCCAAACATACTGACTCTTAGGGTGCTTTCAAGATTGTCCATATACCGAAGAAATGCTTAGACAAATACCCACCATTGTCCGACTTGGTTGGATAGTTTTCAAACTGAACCGTTCTTTCCGAATATTCAGTTGGAGCAGAGTTCAATGTCTATCTATTCATTATTGAATGATTGTAAAATCTCTACGTTTATTATGATCTATAGAAATGTACTGAGATTAAGCGTGTCGGTCTTATTCATTCGTTGTATCAGTATTAGTTTTCAAGGAATTCATTCTTTCCGAAATTTCTGTAGAATGAATACTCAAAAACTTCTAAGACATTTCGAGGAAAATAGATCTCAATGAATAGAGTGGATATTGTCATAAGCTCCAAAGCTTGGATACTTCCCTGTCAGTAGGGAGATAGTCAATTATTGTTATCTTTCCAAGCAACAGATAACGAAAAGCTTGCGAGATTGAGTTTTTGGTTCAAGAAGACCTAGCTTAGGTAAAAAACAGTTTTTTATAAAGATTGATCATAGACAAAGTTATTCGGGAAGAAAGACTATTTTCCCACGGTCTAAGCAAGCTTTACATAATTTCGTTAGTATCGTAAATTAGGCTTTTCTTCAGTACAAAATAACAGCGACAAACTTTTCATTATTCCTTACTGAGTAACGGAAAAGGAACTGTTCTCTCCTCATCACAATCAAGAATAAGTGAGATCGAGACCAGAAGATTTAGTGCATTCCTAATAATCTAAGATAAAATATGTTTCATTATTTTTCTTGTGGCCATGATCTAATTTTAAAAAAAGAGAGTAATGAACAAGAAAGTAATTGAATATAAATCTATATAAAATTCTTGCATGCATTCAGATAAAAGAAGTCGACTTTCTAAACACAGAATCGATTGAAAAATTTGTAATAAGTCGCAGCATTCAATAACATGCGATGATAATTAAACTAATGATTTATTTTGTAACTCTTCTTATTAAAAAGCTTTTTCTTAGAGGTTTGATCGATTCTTTGTATATTTTTCTACAATGTATCGAACAGACCTATTGTAACTAATAGAAACTAGATCATCTTACATTTCCTATTTCTCAAAAATTTTGCCTTTTTTACTTTCTTTTTGTTCTTGATTTTTTGCACAATTCTTTGAATTTACGGCAAACCTGATCTACAGTGCATCAATGCCTGCTTTTTTTCCACATCATCTTGAGACAAAGCAAGCTAACATTAGCACATAAGATTATTGCGTATAAGATGTTTTTTCTGGAAATCTAATCATTTGTATTTAACAAATTTGTATCTTTCGAAAAAAATAACTAAAAACCTCTAATGTTCTTGGAAAACTTCCTATAAGAATTTCAAAAATAAAATCCATACCAATAAATAACAGGTGCATCATCAACTTCTTTTTCAGTAATATATTCATCTAAATCATTTCGAATTCGTGTCCATAAAATTCCTGGTAAACGTCGAACAGGTGGTATATAATGTTCAAAAACACTTTTAAGTACATCATCATCAAGTGAAAGAACATCTTCAAGCTCATTTTGACTAATACCACTTCTACATGCTGTCATATAACATAATGCTCGACTAAATAAAACACTATTATGTATAGTTTGTAAACGTTGAAATAAATAACGTATACAATCATCAACATCATTCAATTGATTTAATCGTTCATCAATTGAATCATATGAATGCCAATAAGATATGATATCAAACATAAGTTTCATAAATAATGGAAGAATATTATGTTTTTTATTCATTAAATTATTTATAAATAAACGTTGTTCTGTACTTAATGAACGCTGTTTCATTTCAAGCCAATCATTATAAACTATTTCAACTGTTGATGGTTCAAATGGTGGAACATGTATAAATAAATTTTCATTTTCAATTAAAATATGTTTTAAATTTTCTAAAATATTTCCATGATCAGGCAATGTTGATACAATACATTTAACATTGAATGGAAATTCTATTGGTAACCATTTACAATCATATGCATCACTATGTAATTGATCGATTGAATCAAGTAATATAAGAAGATATTCATTATCACGTATTTGAGAGAGAAGATTTAATTCAAGTTGATCACGAAGTTGATTCACAGTTGGATAGGCCGTCATTGGTATATTATATAATTCAGAAATTTGTCCAGATATAGAAAGTAAAGTTTTATAAATAGTTGAAGAAACTGGTGTAGTTCTAGATCAATTAAAGAATGTCAATTCCTTTTTATTTTCGTTTCATTCGATTTAACATACCCAAGAAAACGTAAAATAACTGAAACAGATCGATTAGGCCACCATTTAAATATCTTGAATTAAGTTTGAAAGTATTTGAAGATTTTGTGAAACTTAAGTTAACTAACCTCTGTTGCCGTTTTAGCTATTACACTTGTCTTTCCACAACCAGATTCACCATAAACAACACATGGTCGACATTCAATATTATTTTTCACAAATTTTTCCAACTAGAAAAACAAAAGTTGTTTTTTTTTGAATGTAATATCTCTTATCATACTTTAGATAAGACATCAATTCTTCCATGAAATTTAGCAACATATGTTTTACATTGTATAGCATGTTCTAATACTTCATGTTGTAAACTATCAGAACCAATTGTATAACGTGATTGAACACATCGATCTATTTGTTCTTTCATTGCTGTATAAAAATCATTATTAAATTCTTCTATGTATTGAGAATGTTCTTGTCGGTTAATTCCATTTGATGACCAATGAAGTTTATATTTGAATATGTTTTGAGATTTTAATGCAGCTGGAATACGAACATTTTTTAATCGATCGAGTAATTTTTCAGCTTCTTGATCAATAACTGTTTCTGATGACATATCGATATATTTTCGTACCTTTTCATCTGATAAATGATTTTGAATATCAACAATTTCACGTAAAAAACATAAAGTACGTTCATTAGCATCTTTTGCTGATAAAATACCATTGATGATCTCCTTTTCCGTAACTAAGAATCAATTTATATAAATAAGTAAACTAATAAAAATCTTACCCGATATAAAAAAATTATCATAATCAGGTTCTATGATTTGTTCTCGTTGAAGACATGTTTCTGCTGCTTGTCGAAGGCATAGTCTTAAACGATTATTTATATCTTTCCATTCTTTATCTGCTTGTTTTACTTCATCTGTATTCTGTGGAAAAAAAAAACAACAATTCTTTAAAAAAAAATTCTTTCTTCATTACTTTTGATATAAAATGTGGTATAATTGATGAAATATTCTGTAAAACGTATGCAGGTGGCATACAATTTGTATCAAGTTGATACCATTGTGTTAATAGTTCAGCATCATGATTTTCATTTTGTTCATTAAGAACAGTTTCTTTTAATAAATCAAATAATGATGCACGAATCTGAGCTGGAATTGGCCGTGAACCATAACGATGACTAAGTAATACCTAATGTCAATTGATCAATAGATAGTTGATTTTTGTCAATAAAAACAAACCACAAAATTAGTAGCAACAGAATATTTTTTACATAATTCAATTTCTTTTAAACATGTTGCAACTTCTCCATGATTATTAGCTGATTCAGTTTGAATTCCCCATCGCATATCAGCATACTAGTAATACAAAGATGTGTTTTTTGTAATTAATTGAAATTATAATAACAAACCTGAAATTCTAATCCATATTTTTCACGACAATAATCTTTAAGTTTAGGAAATATATTTTCAATTAAAGAATCTCGTTCAGTTAATGTATCTAAAAAAATAAGTTTTTTTTTCTATGAAAGACATCGTTTTTAAAGAATTTTAAACCTGAAAACGTTGAACTAACAAAAACTCGTACAATTTTTGATCGAACATCAGGTAATTGTTGAGATCGTCCACGCAAAATATCTAAATAATACGATGATTTCATACTCTAAAATAAAAACTTAGATTATGTTGTAAGAGAAAAATGAACATGATTTCAAAATAATGACGTTGCATATCAGCATAGGATTCTTACCGTTTGACTCCTGCGAGTTCGAAAAATGAATAGTAATCATTAGTACACCTGTTCGACCGTCACAACCATTCGATCTCCTTCTACTTGCCATAGATATTGAAAAATCAACCTTCTACTATTCAAATATTTACATGATTCTCCATAGCAAAGCAATTCATGCGCCGTGAACAACATGTTGTAAGTAATAACATAGAAAGTTATAGATGAGCATCCACTCATTCTGAATTTTTAAGAACAACTCGTTAACTCCTCTTCAATGGGCAATGCATTGAAACTCACCAATTGTGTAAATCCATTTAAAATAGATCCAATAGCTAATTTCACACTCAATCATTCACACTTTTTTCAGTCACTATAAACAATGTAATAAATTTCTTATCAGAAAAATTTGAGCAAGAACTCGAATATTCTATTCTCAATTTGCACCTTTCTTTAATCCTTAGAGGTAATTGCACGACACCCATAAACAAGTTTATTTGATTGATATTACAAATTTTGATAAAACTTTACTTGTATGTAATCTCAAGTGAGATACGAAAAATCTCTATAATTTTATTTTCAAAAATGGTTCTCTTGTTAAGGTATTCAAGCAACAACAAAGACGCTCAAGGTAGAACAATGACAGTCATTATATCACCGTTCAGACATAGTATATTTAAATACACAATATCTGAGTAACGATGTAATAACTCTCATTGTAAGCTTTGAGAATCTTTATGTTTATATGAATATCTCAACAAGAGAACAATTTTAGAAAGTGAAATTATTTGGATATTTTCACACCGAATTTGAGATTTTATACGATTAAAGTTTCATTGAAATTTGTCATATCAATTGAACAGAATTGGTTGTTTCTTTTGTACCAATCCTTAGAATGTAATCATAGTATTGTTCTTAAAGCATTTAGCCAAAAGATTAAATTTGTTATGATAATGTGCAATGCATTAAATTCTTCAAAAATTAATACGCCTAAAATTTGAAAACAGAGTCAGATGTATAATTCGCAGACAGAACTTCATCTAAATGTAATGAAAAAAAAACTCAACGTAATCTTTTTTTTTTTATGTTCAAATTAATCTACTATTGCTATCCTAAAGATGATCAACTTGACTTAACTATTGTTCGTCAAACGTCAATAAATCATTCGTAGATACGGCGATCTATAATCAAAACCAGTCACATTGTAAATGACTTACTTTTTTTTTACTTTTCAACAAACAGGAAATAGAATCATTCAGAAATTTATATAAATAATAAAAGAAGGCAGTACTAACATAAGATACATTCAAGTCAATGATGCAGAGCAGTAATACACATAAACTAGTAAGCCCTAGACTTCCTAATTTTCACTCAACCGCATGAAAGCAATCGTCTCTTCTTACTCTTTTGCATGCATACAAACCGATACGTGCTGTAAGAATTACTAGCTGAATCAAATGGCTTATGATTTTAGCGAGAATCCATACAAGTATCAAATTCATTGATGTGGATCAATAGTGATTGCAAAACCATTATGCAAGAAATTTTACTCATTCATCCTGTAAGAACTATGCACTGAACCGAATTCAACACTGTTTAAGCAGCTTTATTAACAAAGAAACTAAAGAATATAATCTGTTATAGCCTTACCCAGTTAGTTGAGGAAACGCTGTTCTGCCGTTAAAATGATGTTTAATGTCACATCGTTTAAACGATGATATATTGACCAAATTACGCGTTTATCACAAAAAACGATTTTGTATGTCATAAAGTAATATTATGCTCTTGTCGTTTAAACTTCGAATTGTAAATGTCATAAATAGTGATTTGTTGACGTTAAAACCATAATTTTTTATTATTTCATCTGTCGTAAACGATTCTTTACTTGAAAAAAAGGTTTAATATTCAAGAATCATCGTTGTCTTATTTGTAACTTGATCATTCATCTAATTTTATTAATTTGATGATGGAAAATACACGTTCGTACTTTTTCTCAATATCTCAATACATTCCAATGAGTAGGTCTCATTTTGTTTTCGAAAAAACATAAATTAAATCTTTAACAAGTTAAAATATTTATTTAAAGAAATGAAAGTTCGGCATCTATATAACATAAGACATGAGTAGAAGTCTTTTCTACAAACTTCTCTTTTTGTTTTGATATTTGTTCAAAAGACTTCTATTCATGACTTATGTTTTAAAGATGCATGAACTTTCACTTCTTTAAATAAATATTTTAACTTGTTGAAAATTTGACTTCTGCTTTTTCGAAAACAAAATGAGACCTACTCATTAGAATGCGTTTAGATATTACAAAAACCTGACTACACTCTTTCTTCTGACACATCGATCGTTTTTTAAAGTTTTTTTTTCTATACTCTTCGTAGGTAATTAGAAATTTGTCGATCGCTTAAGGATGATGCGTTTGTCTTACATCTGATAAATATTCTATCGAAATCTTCTCAAGTCTAGTTTATTCTAATATCTATGGAGAAATATATAATTAGTTACAAAGTTGTGATTTATGATAATCTCGATGAATAATGAAAGAAGAATCTAAATTAGTTTATTAGTATCAGATATGTATGTGATAATGAAACTTAGATTTTTAAAAAGAATTAATGAATTGATACGACAAACGAAAAATTCTAGGGGAAAACTACCATAGATAAAACTATGTCAATTTTTTGGTATATTTTATCAAAAGAAAATATTGAACAGCAATACTATTGACGTACTTCTAAAATTTATTCATTGTTGAGACTATTTTTTTTCTCATACTTTAACAGTCGTCTGTCGTAGATAAAAAGTAATTTATTACTACAAAAGTTAATAGAGCGGCTAAGTTTTTTATTTGATTACTGTAATCTTTATGACTTACGCATATTTATCATCTAGTTGTTCTTTTAAGATTTATACTGAAAACGGAATATATACTCAGCATTATATTCTTTTTATGGTATAAGAGTTAAAAAATTAATGTTTCTTCGCGTAAGAGTTTCAATCGACGACGAACTCAGTAAAATAACAAGCTCTAAAATGAAATCATTAATGAAACTAAGCTATTTAACATTTTTTTAAACTGATTTATTAAGATCAATCAGTGTGACGTTTTGCTCTAACTAAGAACATTATCAAACACAAATAAATAGACAGAAGAAGAATATACTGGGATCGGATTCGACCTATATTTCCTATAATTCCTATCTTTTTGAAAAATCCTGTATTTTGTCCTGTATAATTATGCTTTTTCCTGCTTTTCCTATTTTATACAAAAAAGAAGTCAAAAAGTTTTTTAAATAATATAAATCAGTTGTGTTATGTATAGTTATTAATCATTGGATTGATGCATCAACGTACAGTCAAGTATTTTTAAAGATTAACTGTATCATGGCGACATCCTTTGTAAACAAATGATATTTTTCCTTTTCTATTACGTCGTCGGTCGACTGAAAATTCCTTCGTATGACAATACGTAAGCGAAAGTGAAGAATTAAAAAGTTTATACAATAGACATGCACTCTTTAAACCTTTTCAATGTTGTTTTACCTATTTATACACATGTATAATATACATACAGATTAATAGAATATATAAAATACATACAGACTAATAGAATATATAAAACACAAATAATATTTATTCATATTAATACGCCATTCATATTATATTAAAAGACTTTAATTGATTTCAATCTTGAACTAAATTCTTGCAGATATCATAAATTTCAGTAAACATTATTCTGTACAATCATATACATATTTAATGCCAAAGAATCAAACAAAATTTAACTTAAATTGGCTTTCTCGACTTGATGAGAATAAAGATCCTGTGAAAATATGGTTAAAAGCTGGTCCATCATCATCAACATTTAAATGTACTCTATGTCAAACAAATGAACTCGATTGTGGAAATCAAGGATGGAAGGCAGTTGAACAACACATGAAGAATGTAAAACATAAACAAATCTTGCACCAATGGAAAGAAAACGTTAAGTTCGTTGTTTCATCTTCACCCTCCAATTCATCTTCATCTTCATCTTCATTCTCATCATCATCTACTTCTTCTTCTGTTGCAGTATTAGAAACAAATAACAATAAACATAAAATTTTAAATTTCGAAGATCAGGTTATCAAAGCGGAAATTCTTTGGGCATTGAATATTGCTCAACGAGGATTCAGTTACAGTTCGTGTAACGAATTGAACAACATGTTCTCATCGATGTTTCCTGATTCTAGCATTGCTGCCAAATTTTCTATTCAATCAAACAAAATGTCTTATGTGATATCTCATGGTTTAGGTCCATATTTCAAAAAGAAAATAATCGACGACGTGAAGAAAACGGACAAGTTTGTTCTTATATTCGATGAACAAACTAATAATCAAAACAAGAAACAACTTGATATGTGGTTTAGGTATTGGTGCAATGAAAAAAAATTAGTTGTTAATCGGTTTTACAAAACAGTTACATTAGGGCATGCATATGCAAGAACAATTCGTGATATTATTATTGAATCATTTGCTACTGATGGATTGGATTTGAAAAAACTTCTTATGTTGTCAAGAGATAATCCAAATGTGAATATAGCTCTTGAAAAGATGATTGATTCAGAAATGCAAAAACAAGGCAGTTCTTTGCTCAAGCTTGGTAGCTGTAGCATTCACATCGTTCATAATGCCTTTAAGAATGGTTTGTTAATTTCAAAATGGCATGTCGAAAATTTTTGTCTTGATCTTTACTCATGGTTTAAATGTTCACCTGCACGACAAGAAGACTTTAAAAATGTTTTAGAAGAAATTGATTCTCTTTTAGAAAAAACAATTTTATACTTTTCTATAACTAGGTGGATTTTGATGGGAAAAGTTGTGAAACGAATTATAAGTATGTGCATTTTTTCTTTTCACCCTTCTACATTACTCTTTTTCAGATCAATGGGATGTGTTGTGTGACTATTTTCTTCGTTTTTTATCAGAAAAACAACCATCTCAAATTAAAGAGAATAAACGGTATGACAGTATTAAGTTGATGTTATCATCGAATTTGTCAAAAGTCAAATTAAATTTTATTTTATATTTATGTGAGAATATTTTCGATCGTTTCTTAACTTATTTTCAATCGGAAGAACCATTAGTTCATGTTTTGTATCATGAAATGACGGAATTATTTCGTGATGTTCTTTCATCATTCTTGAAAATAGATGTTGTTCAACATAAATCTGGTCAAGAATTATTAAATATTACTTTGGATCAAAGTAATCTATGGCGTTCTGAAAAAGAAATAAGAATTGGTAGGTTTTATTAAAATTTCTTCTCATCAGTTCATATTATTTAATCTAGGTGAACAAACAACAAAATTAATATCATCACTGAATTTTGATGAGAAAAAATCTTTTTACCAGGATGTTAGAAAGATTTATGAAACAATTGGAAATTATCTTAAAAAAAATCTTCCATTAGATAATATTCTTTTACGTGATTTACAAGTTTTGAATTATTCATCAAAATCTGATGCAAAAAGTAATGATCAAATTCTTCGAGTTGCTCGAGCTATTCCGAATTTATTCAACGATAAAGAAATAGATAATTTAACGAACGAATGGATTTTATATTGTTTTGAATCAATTGATGAATCATGGATTATCAAAGATAAGTATGTTGATTCTAATGGACTTGACCACATTCAATATCATTCAATTGATTACTATTGGAGCCAAGTTTTTTCAATATTGACAAGTAATGGTACACCAAAGTATCAAACATTAGCTAAACTTATAAGAAATGTTTTAATTATTGCTCATGGGAATGCAGATGTAGAAAGAGGATTTAGTATAAATTCACATATTGTTACAGATAATCGAACATTGTTATCAGAAACATCGATAAATGGTTTGAGATTGGTTCACGATGGAGTCAAATATTTTGGATCTGGTTCAACACATAAAGTAACATCATTTATGGTTCATTTTAAATTTCAATGTATTTGAATTTGATTTCCAGGTACCTATCACATCAGATATGATCAATGTAGTAAAAAAATCATCTAGTAATTATCGAGACGAATTATTGATCGCCAAAACGGCAAATAATATTTATAGTAAGACAAACAATAACAATAAAGAATTAATTCAAATTGAACGTCAACAACAGATTGAAGAAGAAAAGAAATTATTGGATAAACAAAAAGATCTTGATAAAGAAATGAAAGAAGCTGAATATCTCATTCAAGAAGGAACCAATCGATTGGAAAATGGTCTGAAAAATGGTTCCTTATCAGAAATATATGCTGCAAAACTATTAATTGCTGGTGGCCACGAGAAGATAACAGCTACTAATGAAAAACAGCGACAAGTAACAAATGAACTTGATAAACTTCGATTGAAAAGAAAGGATGCATTAGTTCATGAACAATCACCAAATAAAAAGCTGAAGAAAATCTAATAAAATCCAAACAATCTATTAACTATTACAAACGATTATGTTCATTTCGTTTTCTTTTATGGATTTATTGGAACATTATCTTTGTTTATATAATATTGTTGTGAACATGTATTAGTTGTTTTTATGATTATTTTTCTTATTTGTAAAGTTTTATAAGTTATCTTACTTAGTTATTGATGTGCTTGTAAATAAATATTTCATGAACTTGGCAACTATATCTTTTAATTGTTTATTTTTACAGAAAGAAGTAGGTTACATATGCTACTTAATACTCAGTCTCTTGTCTTAACTTTATTAATACAAAATCCCGAACCATGATGTTATAAAGACTGCATTCTTGGATGAAATTAATGTGTTAAAAAATCCTATATTTCCCTTACTTTTCATCGATAATCCTTTATTTTTGGAAAGTCGAATCCTATACGAGTTCCTATATTTCTAAAAACACCTAATCCGATGCCAGAGAATATATATAAGAGTAAAATAATGTCTTCGTTTTTTTATTCTATTGTTTCAAATATTCTAATGCAGACGGATTAATTTTACTCCCCCCGTGCATTGAAATGCTTAAAACAATAGAATAAAAACCGATGACATTATTTTACTCTTATATATATTCTTCTTCTGTCTATTTATATGTGTTTGATAATGTTCTTAGTTAGAACAAAACGTCACATTGATTGATCTTAATAAATCAGTTTACAAAATGTTAAATAGTTTAGTTTCACTAATGATTTTATTATGGAATGTGGTGCTACCAAATGACAAATAAGTTCTATATAATATATTTTTTCTACGAATATCGTATTTTGTCAACTATCTCGATAGAATGTACAAGACAGTTTTCCACAAATACTATCCTAAGAAAAAGCAAAAATAAACGCAGAAGGTAAGGTGAAACTAAATCCTCTACATCGTTCAATTCTGAAGACTTCTTCTATTAGAGTTATCTGAATCTTTTTGCTCAGGTTTTCTAAGCTCGACCAACGGTCAATAAGAATCCTTATTCACATTTCGTATAGAGTAAATGTGTGAATTTCTTCGTAATCTGAATAGTATTTTAGATTAAATTCAGATATCATTCATGTATCTTATATTTGTATGCATTCATATTGCTCGCAGAAGTGATGTTTACTTATTGAGCAATCTTCATCGAATGAATGAATGAATGTGCTGGACGAATTTATTTTCTCTTTTGTCCTTCTCTAACGTTATTCTTTTTTCTTTTCTCTTTGAACTTTTTCTTTTATTTCCTGACTTAAATTTTTCTTTTCTTCCTTTTGCTATTCTATCTCTCCAATTTGATTAAGACTAACAATCAATTACTAAGCATATGAGATCCGTTCTGTTTATGCCACATATATTTGTCGAATATATATTAACTGAAAATATTACTCTCTTTTGACTTGGCTAGAGTTTCTAATTGAATTATGTAGCTCATAATTAATAGTGTTGTATTGCTTGTCATAAAACGAGTTTCAATTAGCTCATATACTGATAAGTTGATAATTTGTAATGAAAACTCTAATGCAGCAATTTTATGTTTGAGAATATTAGGAACTTATAATGTATCGTACGTTTCGAGCTTTGAACATAATCAAAAAATTAGGATTTCAATGTGAAAATTGAGACTTTAAATCAATAAAATCAACCTGTATTTTCTCGATATTCTAATGTTCGCACCAACGCATGATGTTGATTCATATGATGTTAATGTTATGCGGATTCTTACTTTAATCAAAGGAACTCTTTTTCACATAATTAAATCTACAGCGAATACTTTTTTTGAAGTAATTCAGCAGATCAAAAGATAAATGGAAGCTCCAAACGGACTAAATGTCTTTCACGCGTACTGTGAAACAATCGAAAACACAAATTCACGAGAATATAAATAATTATGGGGACCAGTTCCAAAAAGAAAGATTAATCTACTTTGAGCATTTACAGCTGTTTTCGTTGGAAAAGATGATCATAAACATTTCTCACTATCTTTTACGAAGAAGAAAATGACTTATATAACCGTTTCAGAGACTATTTAATGTGTATAACGCTTGGAAACGCTGACTAGACGTAAAAATGGCAAGAAAAGTGATGATCACGTTTTTTCTTGCCGTTTATCACAGTTTTCTAACAGAACGGATGATTATGACAGTTTAAACGGCATTTTCAGCGTTTCACTTCTTCCTGGGTACATGAGTGTTTATCCTTCTTATCAGTTTTATTGATGTGAAGCTACCACAACACGATCCATCACCACGATCGTGGTGACCACTTCATTGGTTGCCTCACTGGAACCAATCAGAAAATTCGACAGAGGGCACACCTAATCGAAAATAGCAATTTTGAAGCATATCACTCCACCGCCTTCCACAAGTACTCAACACTTCCACAAACAGCTAATCCAGGCAAAATCTCCACAAACAATTCCACAGAAAAAAATTAATAAAAAATATTAATAATTATTGTTGTGGTGGTGGTGTTGGTTAGGGGTGAGAAAGTTATTGTTATTTTTTTTTGTTATTATAACAATAACATTCACTTTTTGATTCAAAAACATTAATGAAACAAGTGCAAGCATAGTTTGTACGTACGTCAAAAAATCACTTTATTCATACAGTA